GGTCAGCCGGTCATTTTCTCCGGCCAAACTGGGTCGTGTCCGGCTTCGTCTTCACTCTAGCTGAAATCCGTACGGTTGACGGTATGTACCTTCCGCTAAGTACGTCTAAGACTTAGACGCGCAACAGGTTCACGGCGTTACACGCACGCTGTCTTCAGTGTCTAGTCACTCAGTACTTGTTTGATATTTGATAAATTGTGACTGTAATTCCTTCAGTCCCAGTTAAAGTTGATCATCATATTTGGTTAAAGAAGTAGATAAACTGCCCTACAGTTTTTCAACGAAGAGATGATAAGTGCCTTAACGCCTTCGCCTTGCTCAGGCCTCGTTCGAATCGTTTTAACATCAATAACGTTAGTCATGCCACGCGACAGGGATATTGAAAGCGAGGCAATTAAGCGGAGCGTTATATTTGGAGTGCTCACTTGATTCTTGTTGGCTTTGCGTGCAGATATTTACTCTAGTCGACCGTTCCCGATCATTTAAGAGAGCAAAAAGCGTGCGGTCAAAAGATCAACTTTTTAAAGTATTTTAGTTGTCCCTGAAGCGTTTCGATCGCTTTCAGATAAATTTAAACTCACTGACGTCGCGATGAGTTACTTAATTGATCACAACGCCTCTGTCGGTTACTTTATGAACAATGGTCTCCAGATTGTTTAAAGTATACTCAAACAGAAGTCAGTAAGTATATATACAATCAAGTTAATAATAAAGAAATGGAAATTATTTACTCAAGAATTCTCTGTCAGTGTGCGGGTTTATCCAACATGTACAATTTATCAGACATCATACATGTAATAGTAGAGAGACTTAACATAAGACAAAAAAAAAAATATTCGAAGCAAGGAAATTTCAGAAATTTGTATTAAGAGCAATTTTCATCCACATGACCTGTTTTGTGGCTCTTAGGACTAACAGAAATCTGATGTATTACCAAGTTTCGTGAATAATTGACTGGAAATGTTGTATGTTGACAGAGGAAGCCAAGTCATCTCTGGAACGCCGAGTGCTGACAGGTTTATGGCAGTCATTATGAATAAATAAAAAAATAAGTCACTTTATTTCCAAAACAATGCAAAATTGGAGACAGGAAGATCAAAGTTAAAACAGTATTTGACAATAACAATAGTTTCTGTAACCATGCCTATCATAATTGGATGCAGCACTAATTATACCAGTCTTTCGATCATATGGTAGAAAAACACCATAATAACGATTTTGTTGACAATAGCTACATGTATTGCGATAAATACCATTGGATGTTTAAGATGTACATGTAAACACAAGTTCAGAACATTAACCACTTTTTGTTGAACTTATCTTACAGCGAGAACAAATACGTTGATATCATTCAAACAGATAGATTTTACGAGTTAATGTCAACAAAACAGTTATCATTCCCTAACGGACCTTGCAGCCCGTTAACCATTCTGACGTAGTTTTGAATCGTGAGCAACCCAAAAGTCAGCGCAAGAAGGTATTTGAACACTGCACCCCTCCCCCAACCACTCCGTTAGAGCAGTAGAAACTACCTTTTTTGTACTAGAACATGTTACCCCCTTCCACCCCAACAGTACAATAAGAAAAACGATACCGAACTCAGTACTTCTCATCCCTGCATGTGCCCTACTTTACATTTAAATTGTCCTCGTCAATAGTGAAAAATAATTGCCTATTTACCCGTATTCGAGTTAGGAATTTTTTATTGTTTTACTGTCACAAGTGGGGTCACCATTCAGGCTCTATCTTCATTTTGGAGAGTGATTCAAACATAAAACTATTTTATGTATTCCGAACGAAACAAGGCAAAATCCTCTTGCATCCACCGGCCCTCCCTTCTTATACTAATTCCAAATCGCGGATGGACCTATGCATCGTTCACCCCTGAAAACCACCCCTACAACTCTGCCACCTACTTTTGTCTCAAACTGATATTTCTAGCTTTGCTTAATGTCGGCTATCATAATCCATCGTGAGGTTTGAGATGATTTAATGAAGTTCAAGTATTTGTTATCGGCTTATGTACGGGACACAACCGGTATGGGTAAATACATGTATTATGTACCCCGCATTACTGCCTCGGTATCAATTTATCTATAGCACGCTGAAAGCATCGTGAGTTACAGGAATGTACAGACATGAATTCATTGTTGGAGATAAAAACATTTATCTGTTTATCCTTTCAAAGTTGATAAAGGATTTCATTTTGGAAACCAAGATGAATTTGACGTGTAATTTCTGATATGCCTTTGTTGCGTTCCAGTCATATTTCTATTCCTGTGTAACGGGGGAATTACTGTGTAGCAGTGTTCTTAACAATTGCAATGTTTTTTTTTCTTTTTTACGAAATAAAAAGTGGGACCAGACATGATAACCAGTGAGGTCGACATGGTGATATATAATATTGACCTTTCAACGTTTTGCGAACGTTTTGCGAACGTTCTGCGTGCACTTACCATTAACATATCTATTTAGTAGTAGTCCTAAATATAAAAATCATCGTCCGGGCAATCACTAATTATATAATACAAGAATAAAAACGAAAGTAGCCGACACTTAATATTTTTAGGAAACACCCATTAGCCGTTAAAATAGTCTGAATTATCTTGCAGGTCAGTTTTCTAAGACTATGACCCAAATAAATAGGTAGAACTCCAATGAAGTAAAATTGTACTATATCGAGACGGTCGTTGCAAATGCTTTAGTTCAATATCTTCTTTGTCCAAATTAACTGCTTTGGATTTATTTTGAACTGACATAGACCTTCATTGTTTATCTACAGACAGTGTCAGTGTATGAAATTAAACCAGTTTCGGGAGTCTGACGGTCTTTCGTGTATTCAGTACGTTGCATGCAGCACTCAAACTGAGTGTGTCCATTGCTACAGAGAAGACAGCTGTTCACCTCGGTCTGCCGGCTGGTATTCGAACCGTTTGTATAACAAAAGATAAATAAATTCCAGGTTGTTGTAGACAACTCTTATAAGATTTGCCATACATTTCTCATATTTTTTTTCTAAGATGCCCCTGTTACATAAAGCACTAGTAGCTGGCGTTTGTGCATCAATACAACGTGTTGATAAATATGAATAACTATGATAATGGAACTTACATTTAGCAACTGACGGACGTTGCGGTCTCAGTCTGAGACCTTTTACTAGGTGAATGACCTGGAAGGACTGGTCACCTGATCTATTGTCACGCAGTTAGGCATAGTCTCTAGTCTAGTGTACTATCTAGGTCAGTTACTTATGGTAAGTTCCAGTATCAGAGTTGTTAAATTTATCATTCTTATTCTACTGGATGACTAACGACATTCACTCATTCAATAAAACGTGTTGTTGCTATCACAGCAACGAGTTTACAATGCTAAGATTGCCCTTTCCATAACATTTGTATTGAACATAAATTGCATGCATCAATTAAACAAGCTATAAAAACTAGTGCTATTAAGATAATTCTCACCATCACCAGACTTGTCAGTAATAAATAGAAACAGATACCGTTATTCGTTATTTTTTAGGTAATTGCACATTTCAGCTCCACTCCGGACTCTCAGTGTGTTGACTAATAGGCCTAAAATACCTACTCTGTGCAATATCCAAATTGATCAATTTTGTTTTAAATCAATTAGATGGACGTTTTGTTTGAACTGTGCATTAGAAGAGCGTACAAAGAAGTCCGCATCATGGCTTAACATTAGAATAATTGCAAACTCCGTTACGTTGTTTTAATTAATCTAACTACTAATTATATAAAGAAAAGTGAGACATCATCCTCATTACTCTCATTATGTACCTTATTTTGTAGTATTGAGCTGTCCACATGTTGCTCATATCAATGAATACCATATCTAAAAATAGTGAAAAATAATTGCCTATTAACCCGTATTCGAGTTAGGAATTTTTTTTATTGTTTTACTGTCACAAGTGGAGTCACCATTCAGTCTCTATCTTCATTTTGGAGAGTGATTCAAACATAAAATTTATAAATTGTTTATATAAGGGAAAATTGCTGAAATTTACATGAAAATTCCTTTTTTTTTCGTCGATTTTATGCGTTTCATGTGTATCTGAAGCCTTACGTTCAGAAAGAATTTGAGAGCTTTTAATAAACAATTTTATTGTCTTATTTCATTAAATGAATTTAACAGTTTATATCATTGTACAAACAATTTTGGTTGCAAATAATCATTATTATTATTATCAGAGAATTGGTCTCCAGGTACACGTAATATAAAAATGCTGTGTACTGGTACCTTTAACGTGCATAAGATAAACACCTCCACTTGAACCCTGCAACTACTTTATTAAATATTTATAGGCGTAACTGATATATTGTATTGATCACATTTGAAGAAATATCAACTCGACTTAAAACTAGTCGTACACAAGACAAATAGTGTATACGGCACGTTGACACTCCATTGATAAAATCTCCATGGTGACCGTGTCCTCTTCTAAGGCGTGGTGAACATCAAATGGTCTCTTGGGAACCCAAGATTGATTGCAAGCGGCTGCACAGTGCATTGTCACATCGGGTAGCATCATTAGTCATTTATGAGACAAATATATCTATTGACAAATATATCTATTGACAAATATATATATCTATTGACGATGTGAAGAGGGGTGGTTTGTTCTGTGTGGTGAACGTCATTTCATCATTTGATGTTGACACGGGATATAATTTGTCGCCCTTATCATTTTATCTTGTTCCTTTGGGTAATATTGATATCAATGTAAACGGTGGTGCATCACTCAGGTAAGGCAGACAGCCATTTTCGTATATTACGTGCATGTGCAAAAAACGCGGCATTCAACTGAAGTACTGTATCTCATTCAGTGAGCCCATTTAAAAAGACAATGGTAAGAACAAAAACCACACTGGTAATGTATTGAATGAGTCTTTTCCCGCAAGGAAATGTCTTATATATCTCGCAGAAAAGATACTTAATTGATATTGTTATGACAAAGTAAGTGAAACGCTGACTGGTTTCTGATGATTCGATCTGTTTCGAAGACAGACGACGACAACCAGTACACGGACGCCACGGCGGTAAGAATAACGGATAAAGACTTTTCTGAGATGGAAACTGCTATTTTGGAGACCATCGAGCTCGGATCGGAAACCAATTCCGAAATAACTACAGAGAATAGTAGCGCAATATCCGCCGCAGATCTAAGGCCAAAGATTACCGGGAACGAAATCAATATGAAGCTAAAACCAAAGAAAAACTGCAACGGAAAGCGGGTCACCATCAACGTCGCCGGGACGAAGTTCTTGGTCAGTTGGGACACTTTGGCCAAAGTTCCCAACACACGGCTTAGCCGATTGACCATGTATGATGTAGATCCAGATGAGGACGAGATATTTTTCGAGAGGGATCCTACGTTCTTTCCGTCCATTCTCGGTCTCTACTACACTGGTCAGCTTCATTTCTTGCACAGTCTCTGTGGGCCTGCGATCCTTACGGAGCTCGCCTACTGGGAGATACCGGCCACCGCCCTCTCCCCGTGTTGTAAGGAAGCGTGTTTTGTCACAGAAGAAAAGCGACAAGAAAATCAGAAACTTGCGGATGAATTCGGACTGTCAGAACAGACAAGTTACGAAGACGACAAGAGATGTTGTGGCACATGGAGACTGAAGCTAAGAAGATTTTTGGAAGATCCTCAGTCTTCGACTGGGGCGAAGGTTAGTCGGTTGTTTTTGAAAGGCAAACGAATCATTGGCCTGAAATGCATCACGATTCTGACACCACTACGACTGATAACGTTTAAAATAGTCCCCCCTTCTCTCTCTCTCTCTCTCTCAGACCGTTATTTTCCATTCCCTATAATATGTCTAAGTTACTGCATGTAAGGGTTATCAATTATAAATCCCATTTTGATTTAATAAGAAGAAAGAATGTAAATAAAATATTTTTTGCGGTATTAGGGAACGCGAACTATTGTAATTAGTGACATTAAGGATATATTGTCACCCTCCGCCCAAAACTCCTTATTTACTGCCTTACATACATTCTTTTTGGGTAATAAAATACTCTTCATTGATCTGTGAATAAATTAAGTAACATTTACATATATGTCAAATTATGGGTGACGTCACAATCGCGATTTAGGGGTAAAAACTAAAAAATCGGTTTCTTAAATTTCTCTTTTACCTGAGCACCCATGATCACCGTTTGAACACCGATATAATGAAACCATTTAGTACCTAAAAACCCTGCCAGCGATTTCTCTTAAATTTCTTAGTTAAGATTTTATCGTTGATAAAGCAGAAAAATACCTTTGTTTAATGAAAATATGTAATTACGGGCTCATAACTCCATAACAAAAGCATTTAAACTAAAACGCTGGCACTGGATTGTAGCTCATACTCTTGAGGTCCACTATGCCAATTTTCGTGCTAAAATCTTTTTCAATGATGAAATTACACCCCATACAGATTGCTATCTTACCACGAAATAGAAAGGTGTGAAATAGACGATTAAAACTTTCAGTTGCCTATGCTTATACATTGCAACGAAAAATATAAAAGCCGATTTTTTTTTATATTTTCGAGAGTTTTTTCATTGTTTTAAACCAGCACAAAGATAGATACATTATTACATAATTAGATGCAGGAAAATAACTCATTTTCGGTATAATATCCTTAATTAAAGAATGTATTTTTGCTATTTGAATAAATAACACCTAACACGTATCTATCAATTGACACTAAGAGCTTATGAAGAGTCCTTTTTCAAATAAGCAAGCAAGGTGGTTCATCACCAGTGCTTTTAGATATAGGTTAGATGACGCTCAATAATACTTGAAGGACAGCTGTTTCGCAGGTTTGTTCTCTTTTTCAGACAGCATTATGCAACAATTCTTCCTTTTATGGAATATCTTATTACGCAGTAATGGATAAATCAATTTAATACACAGGTCTAAACATACTGGTACAGGAAAACAATTCCAACTGATATACAATCATTGCACGTTAAACAACTTTATGTGGACAATACTCATCAAACAAGGCAGGCCGTAAATATTTTATAAGCAGTGTACAATGACACTTCACTAACAATAGTTATATCATTCATTACCCGGCTTGGAATCAGATAACGACATTTGAGTAATTCACTGTTAAACTGCCAATACATTATTTCAGTCCGCTGCCTAAAGTTATCGTGGTGTGTGTGTGTGTGTGTGTGTGTGTGTGCGTGCGTACGTGTGTTTTTCAGGTTTGTAACAGTGCGCGTTTTTAACCCGGCTTAACTTTTTAAACTCTACTATAGTAAAAATCCCAGACAGCAAACATTGGTCGCACCGACATCGGCAGTTGTCGGCACGGTTGAAGTTGACAACAGCGGCGACCCCGATGTAGCGTCACTGGTAAATGCTTTCGGTCCTACGTTGAGGCACTGTACTGGGGTTGAACTATCTGACGTATTATGTGTATTCTTTTCTGTCGCCTGTTTTGTAGACAAGTTGCTTTGTCTTCATCAGATGGCTCAAAAATTGATGATACATGTAATATCAATATTTGATGATAATAGGAAAATCTTTAACTTAAACAATTGAAATTGTCAGAGCTGACAAATAATAATGTATCCAAAAATATGTGCAGCAATTCAATTCATAAGCTTGTGAACTTTTTTTAAGTCACCATAGGTCTATATTAGTTATAATTATACGCGAAGGATTCAGTGCATCTTTCTATATTTGATTTCGTAACTTCCATTATAGTTTCATTCTCCTTTTTTTCTAGAATAACAGAGGGGTTATACATGTAGCGTATTTTACATATAATAGTCACATGGTTCTCACGTGGTATTTCAGATCTGGCTGTTCCTGGCTCTCTTAGCAACAGTCTTCAGTTTCGCCAGCGAAGCCATTTCCTCAGTGGAGGAATACAGAACCCCCTTAGACTACGACCCGGCCGTTAACAACTCCACTTTCCGCGAGATGATTACAGCTGATTTAAGCGACAAAGAACTGATGCGCCTTATCACTAACGACAACGCTGTTAACAACATCCTCCGCGATCTAGCGCAGTTCTTTTTCACCCTGGACATTATATTGAGAATGGTCGCTTCTCCCAGCAGATGGCGCTACTTCAAGTCCGTGTTGAATGTCGTGGACTGCGTGTGGCTGGTGTCTTCCTGGGTGCTCTATGCCTTCGTCCACTTGTACTGCGCCGAGTGCTGGTGGACAATGTCCACTCTGGCGTTCCGCACGATATTCTGGCTGTACTTCATCAACAATAGCCTGCGCGTCTTCCGCGTGGTGCGCATCGGATACCTCTTCATGCCACTGAAGGTGATTTTTCTCACAATTAAGGCAAGCATAGCAGAAATCGTAACTCTCCTTTTTCTGCTAATCCTTGGAGCGCTGATCTTCGGTCCCTTGATATATCTAGTTGAAGTTTCCAATGACAAATCATCCATGCATAACATTCCTATTGGCTACTGGTGGGCAGTTGTTACCATGACGACTGTTGGCTATGGCGATCGGTATCCATCGGAGTTGTTCGGCTACGCTGTCGGAATTGTCTGCGTCACGGTTGGTTTGGGATTCAGCGGGCTGCCAATATCAGTGATAAGCGCCAATTTTAGCAGGTACCAGGCCTTTGCGGCATACATAAAGGCGAAAAAATCCCAGTCACGGGGCAGTTCTCAGGAGTCGGCGTCAAATGCCATTTCACCTGAACTGACATGCAAAGGATAGTGTGACAACACAATATGTCGCACAAACGTCATTTTATTTTTTTTTTTTTCGTTTTTTCTGTGATTAATGTGTTTTGGTAATGTGTGTTTTAAAACGACAAATCTCTTACATAGCTGTAAACATTCATTTATATACATGTACCATATGTCCTGTTATTCAGTGTTTAATACTTGAAGATTGTAAACACTTGTAATTGCGCCGACTCTGCCACTGCCATGGTCATCCGTGCCCTAGTATCCTCAAAACTTGATTACTTTAACTCCTTCTCAAAGTAAAGAAAGAACAAAGAAACTCAACACATCCAAAACATCCCAGCCCGTCTGCTTATTCGGACTACTATGGAGAATCACATGACACCGATTTTACAAGAACGTCGCTGGCTACGTGAAAATCAAGGAATTTTATTCAAACTTTTAATATATACGCTCATGCTGCTTTTTATGGACTTGTACCACGTTCTTTGTGAACTGGTATCTTATTACTCACCAGATCGCATGTTATGATTTAAGGACCATTTATTATTAAAACCTCATTGTGCAAGGCTTAAAACATTTGGACACAAATCTTTTGAATACGCGGCCCCGTATATGAATGGAATCAGTTACCACCAGAAGTAGGGAATATAAGTTCAGCTGATGGTTTTAAAAGAACACCTCAAACTTATCGTTTTAATAATAAACTAAACAATATAATTGTATATTTTTCTGTTTACTTTTATAAAGAAAATTATAATCGGAGATTCCTCTCTGTATTCCTAATACCATTCCTTTCAATCTGAATTAATCCTTTTAACTGCGTATCTTAATTGTATAATATTTTATTTGTAAAGTTTACAGAACATATTATTATGGATTTTAGACTCTAAATAAATGAATAAATATTATTATTATTATTATTATTATTATTATTATTATTATTATTATTATTATTATTGTGAGTTTTTCTTTTTATGAAATGCAAATGGATGCAAAGTGTCATGGCCATCTGACATTGCCATTGGTTCTGCTTTCTGACTACGTCACGTTTTCCTTTGCCAGTTTTTATCAGTTTTTATATTTCTAATTTACTATCAATTTTTCATTGTCCCTCGGTTTATAATGACGGGAACAGCAAATAGTCTCTGATGAGAATAACCGTGTTGCCCCCTACATGTATGAGGCGTCACCGGTGTGGCATTTCCGCCTTTCTTACAAGTAGCATGGTGACATGAATGATTCGACTACAGCTCACAACGACTAACAGTTTTAAAACGATTTGCCTTTTTATTATCCTGATTAAGTCTATTTGATATCACAATTTTATAGTTCGTAATCAAATATTTTCTTCTCTAAATTTTTATCGAGTGATATACTACTATTCATATTACAGTTTATGAAAAAAAAAAACTGTATAATAAGCGTGTTTGAGTGTGTACGTATCTCATACTGAAATATTACGTTTTTGCTTTCAGGAATTATTCTTTACTTAACCAGAGCCATTTTCAAATATACAGAAAACATTAGACAAGTTTTTTTGTTGTTGTTATAGAAAAAAACACGGTAATGACATGCTATTCACTTGATTTCAGGTAATTGATCTATTTCTTTAAGCAGATTAAAACATTTTGGCTTACTGGTAATGTTTAGACCAATATTCGGATCAAAGTTATTTTGTGAAACCCGTCCTTGTAGTGTTCACAATCGAAAATCCCAGCTATCAGAACGTAAAAAATAACCAGATATATCCCAATGTATGGTGGTGACGCCTACCGTTTAGATTTTGTATTAGACGCATTGCAGGTGTATAAAGGGCCAGGAACTTTTTATCTATGCATTTTAAACGATTCATTAATATATTGCACAATATAAAAATATTTCATCTTAATCCACGAATTCACAAAAATTGAATATATCTTTAATCTTTGTACAGCTTTATTAGTTTCAATGCAGTGAGTAGCAGTATTGTCACTACAGTCAACAGATTTGGTAAAAGTTATAAATAATCGGTAACCTTGAAAACCTACTTGCAGCAGCACCTACTGTATACGGAAGAGTTCACTTTTATCTGACTGCAAACATTCAAATATATACACATCTGCTTTCAACTGGGGGGGGGGGGGGGGGGACCCTTATGTCCGGATGACGATCCTCTTTGAATGAAAAGTTAATCAAGGTTTGGAGGTTCAGCTTTCAGGGAAAGAATTTACTCTGGCACGCAGGAAAATCAATACGCCAGACATTGTCATCTGACCATGTATTATTCATCAAAACATCTATTGATAAACACTCAGTGGAATTATAGTGACATGAATATGAGTACTATACCAAAGCTAGTCCGTTAAAGGCGTGCGGTGAAAGGACCCTTAAGGAGCAAACGTTCGCTTTTCCTAGAAATTCTAACACTTTTCCTTAAATCACCAAGGTATATTACATTATATCCAAAACATATCACTAATTCAAGACCCATATTCTTGTTTTAAGTCCTAAGGCAAATAAAGTTTAGTTTTTGTGTAACCCTTGTAACGGAAGCAGAGATGGCGAAAATAAGGAATGCTGAGCTGTGAAAATTATAGAGAAAATAGAGCAATAGGTCTTAGTCACTACGAGTAGGATTATTTAGGATGCTTTCACCTACAGTTATGAAGATATTGCAAGTGCATGTACCATTGTATGTAATATTACCGCGCATTCCATCCAAGCTGCATTTTATTTTCTGCCATGCTTCATAGAGGCCTTTTAATTCAAATTAACACACACACACACACACACACACACACACACACACACGTACAAGAATGATTCAGAGAGCATGACTTGCACAAATATATGTACAAGAATGAAAAATTTTCAGTCTAGTTACTAAATTAATGGTACTTACAAGCCAGGAAAAAAGTTAATGCTGATATTGATTTAACTTCTTAAAGTCGATTCAAGGTAATCCAACAGTGGACAAAAGATATTCAGCATTGGCTGAAGTCGCCATTAACCTTCCACTTTAGTATTTTGAAAATCGATATATTGCCAGCCGTTTCTATTTATTTTGATTTCCTTTCATATTTATGGCATGTTGTGAAATATGTCCACTATTGTGACTATCGTGTGTCTGTGTACGCCATCACACACTCATTCATTTTTATATCAATCTGAGCAATTTTGTAACCCTTATTTTCCGATAAAAAGTAAATTGCGAATCAAAGGCAAAAATTCATTTAATTCAACCATGAAACAAATGTATGGAGGTTCAGTGCAAAAAAACTCATTTTGAATTTTTTCTCCAGTTCGAACAGCCATTGACCACCAATCTTTTCTCTCTACATTGAATGCCTGTCTTTCAACTTTTCGGATATTCATAAAACAGACGTAAATCATTTCAGTTCAAACCAAGAAATAC